TATGGTTGTGACTATTTTCTTCCACTATTTGATCTGAGGAAGTGGGTCTGGCCCACGAAAACTCATCACCTAATAAACCATCTTGCTAGTCTTTAAAGTGCTACATAGTCCTGTATTTTGTTTCAGCTACACCAGACTAACACGGCTACATTTCTATCACTATGCTGAATTAATGATATTCACTCCCATTGGGGCAAGTCCCTATTGGCCCTGACCATCAGGAGCCCCATCTCCCTTCACTCTTGGCCCTTCCTCTCATCTACCCCTTCGGTTCTGCCTCCTCAAAACCCCCCACGCTCCCTTCCGCTTTCCTACTCGGATCCCTTGGGCCTTCCCCCACACTCACTCCTCTTGGCTTTGCTCTCTTTGAGGACCACGCTTCCGCTCAGGGCCCGGCAAGACAATTTTTTGCGGTGATTCTCCTCCTCCGTCCTGCGGTCCCGCCCGGGGCAGGCGCACACTCGAACCTCAAAGCATCGGCGCCCCAGGAGCTGCCCGCTGTGCCAGGAGGTCAGAGGAGAGACATTAGAAACAAACAGAAACCCCAGAGTCCTGGCTCCTGATCCCCCTGTTCTAACCACCAGCTCCCATTCCCCTCCCAGAGACAGGGAGAGAACCCAGAGTCCTGGCCCCCAGCCCAACAGCTCCCCAATGCCCCATGGCTGACTGGGCATTCAGAGGTTGTGCGGGGCTGCCCAGTTCTCTCCCAAGCTCTGGCCCCAGAGGGGAGATAGCTTGGCCCCGGCATGAGACAATGGGGCAGGCTGCCTAGGGCAGCACTGGGGGGGGCACTTACTTCTTGCTCTCCAGAGTGATGATGGCCAGGATGGGGCGGCGGTTCATTCCCCCCATGCAAGAGCTGTTACACATGAAGTTGTAAAGCACAGTGATGCAGTCAGACCCCACCTGCAGGGAAGAAATGGAATTACAATTAGTCTGGCATCCCCTAGAGGGGACAGGACCCTGCCCCACTCCCCACCCGCTGAGCCAGCCAGTCCCTGCCCTAGAGGAGCAGGCCCTGGGCCCCATTCCCCAAAACACAGCTCAGCCTTTAACGGTCTCTCCCTGCTTGTCCCCCAGGTGTTCAGCCAGCATCGGACAGTCCCAGCTGCCCCCGCACCTCCCATCACCCCATGGCACTAGTATCGGGCACCCCAACAAACCCTATTTCCCCTCTGGGTAAGTGTTGCTGCTCAGCATCTCTAGACGCTCAGTAGGGGTAAGTCCATCCCAGAGCTGGGGGGAAAACCCAGGAGTCCTGTCCCCACCACCCCCTCCACTCCCCAGCCCTGCGGATCAGGTGCTGGGCTGGGGCGACCCCTGTCCAGAGAAACAAGGGAGCAGCTCAAGAGGAGACACCTCTGGGCCCCCCTCCCCAGCATCCAGCCTTTTTCTCCCATAGATCAGAGCCCCCTCTGCATCCCGAGATCCCTCCAGCCCAGTCTCCCATCCCCTGCAGCAGGGAGTTTTGCTGGTTGTCATCCCCCCAGGCTGTGCTGCCTCACCGTCACTGTAGTCTGCGGAGCGCTCATGGTGCGGGCAGCGTCTCACCACTTCAGCCACATGCTCTGATTTTTTGTAGACAGCCGTGGCCCGGATGACAGAGCCGGGCGGGGGCTGGCTGGACACTTTGATCTGCACCGGGCAGGTCTTCGCCAGCTGACAGAAGAGCTTGTTCAGATCTGGGGAATACTACAGGGGGGCAGAGAGGGAGAGTGGGACTTAGCAGAGGACACTCTGCCCTGACAGACCCCAGGGCAGCGCTAGGAAGAACTGTGGGACAGGGAGGGGCTCAGCAGGGGGTGCTCTCCTCTAGCAAGCAGGGCTGGCCCCAGGGTGGTGCTAGGAGGTGCTGTGGGGCAAGGAGCGGGGCGGGGCCTCAGCAGGGGTTGCTCTTCCCCAGCAGGCAGGGTTACCCCAGGGAAGTGCTAGGGGTACTGTGCAGCAGGGAAATGGGGTGGGGGCTCAGTTGGGTTACTCATCCTCCATCTTCCTTGCAATGCCCCCCCCGTCCGTACGGTGCATGTGACGGACTTGGCAGTCCCTGACTGCTGGAAGGCCAGTTGAAAGTCGTGCTCCCCGGCGTAATCTTCAGTGGAGGGGACGGTGGAGGAGGTGGGCGGTGGCTCCAGGGCCAGGCAAGGGAGATCCCAACTTTCATAGCTGTGCCCAGCCTGCGGAAGTAGGAGGGAGGAGTCTGCAGAGCCAGACAGGCCCAGGCTCATGTCAGGTAGGGTCTGCGAGGGAGACATGATGAATGGTTAGTGCTACACTCCAGGTCTGCCCCTGCTCCTGGTACCTCTGTCCCCTGCTTGCCCCTCAACCTAGCCCCACCCATCAGATCCAGCCAGCCGAGCCCCTCGGTGCACCCCTTCTTTTCCCGTTCCCCCACACTCAACCACAGCCCCAGACCCCAGCATGGTAATGCACCCAACCCCTCTTCTGGGGTCTGGTGCTCAAACTGGGAAAGGTGGGCTGATTCCTGTCTCCTATCCACCCCACTGGACACCAGCACTTACAAACAGCTCCTGGCTCACCGGTTCCGCAGGCTTCACCAGGTACTCTTCTGCCAGGGGGCTACTGAAAGACAGAAAAAGAAAAGCTTGCGCGGGGGGGGGGGGGCTCTCCAGGCTGCCCTCCTGCCCATGCAAGATGAACCCCGCTCAGCCTGTACCCTCTCTGAGCTCACATCTAAAGTTCAAAGAGTGTGGGACCTGTCGGTGGGGATGATGGTGTGGTTGGGACAGGGTGGTGGCCTGGGGGGCAGGCAAGGGGGCGGTTGAGATGGAGAGGAAAGATTATGCCAGGGTAGGAGGGTGAAGCCCAGGGAGGACCAATGGCGGAAGCTAACAATTTGGAGGGGGGGCAGGGAGTGAGGGGATTTACCCCCACCTAATACTTACAGTGTTTTCCATAAATCGGAGAAGCTCTCCTGACTCAGGGGAAGATCCAGTCCGGTGTCCAAGATCGGCTCCATTCCAGCTGTTCCCTAGAGCTGGGTGACAATTAGAGATAAGTGTTAAGGTGAAACTGCAGGTTAGGGTGATATTGCATGTTAGCATTAAGGTGAACTTGCTTGTTAAGGTGAAATTGCAGATTAGGGTGAAATCAAAGATAAAAGTTAAGGAGACGTTAAAGGTTAGGATGAAATCAGAAATAACTATTACAGTGAAATTGCAGGTTAAGGTGAAATCAGAAATAAGAGTTAGGGTAAGGCCAAAGATTAATGCTAAGGTGAAAATGCAGGTTAGAGTGAAATCCAAAATAAGGGTCAGGTAAAGGTAAGGGCTGGCGAGAGGGGTCAAGGTTTGGAAAAAGGTAACAGGATTCCAGATACCCCTCTTTTTCCTAGAAATTCTAGTCTAAATCTGACCAGATTAATCAGACATTTGGTACACCTCTGTAGGCTGGTCCAGGCCCCTTCGCTATTCCCCGCTATGCTAATCTTCCACTGTTCCTACACACCACAATGTCACACCAATGTTTGGATCCATTGAGAAAAATGCCACATAGCGTCAGGCCCAGAACCCTGCAGGATTGCTTGGGACCCTCCTCCCCACTATGCAAGGGTACTTTCGCCTCGGACAAAGTCTGTCCATTAGGGAATGCTTCATCCGCATCCCAGGCGCAGTACTGGTAATTGCATTGCTCTATATTTTGAATCCCAACTCCAGTGACTAGATGGGTGAGGTGATTCCCATAGCAGCTAAAGGGCCTACTTCAAAGTCGTCCCACTTGCCCTTTCTTACACAACATCATCACTCTTCTAATATTTCCCTAGCCTTGCAACATTTATTTTATATCAACATTGGCAAGCCAGAGACCTTCCTTGGCCAACTCTCTGTGGATTCTTGGATTTAAGTTATTCCATTCTGCATGGATGCATCATCCTGCTTCTTCCCAAACACAGAACACCAATGTTATTGACCACTTCTACCTTCTTTTCATCATTCTTAATGGTTTTACTCTTTGGCTATGTCTACACTACAGGGTTTTTGCACAAAACCAGCCATTTTTGCACAAAAATCCGCAGAGCTTCCACACCTCAAGTGCATTTTTGTGCAAGAAAATTTACAGTAAAACAGCAGAACAGAGGGCTTTTTGCGGTGTACGTATACCTCTTCCTACGAGGAATAACTCCTTTTTGCACAAGAGTTCTTATTCAAAAAGGTGTGTGTGGACGCTCAACAGGGGTTTCTTGCGCAGAATAAGCCCATTAGAAAAAGTAAATAGCCATCAGAGCTTTCTTGCATAAGAGTGTCCATGCAGTGTGGATACTCTCTTGTGCAAAAGCACATTGCTTTTGCGATGCACTTTTGAGGTGTGGACATGCTTTTGCACAAGAAGTTTTTGCGGAAGATCTCTTCTGCAAAAAGTTTCTTGTACAAAAACCCTGCAGTGTAGACAAAGCCTTTTTTTCTAGTAAAGGGCCTGCACCATTGCTCCAGTTTCTTCTATTCCTAACACAACTTCAAAAAAGAAAAAAAAACCTGTATTCCAGTTAGCCCTGCCAGACATGGTTTTTCCTTTATGTTGTTAGCCTCCCATACCAATTTTCTACACTTCATAACTTCTAATTTCTCCTTTCCTCCAATTGTCGTACTTTGCTTTCTTTTTATTTCTCACTGCTGCCTTCATTTAATCATGGACTCCAAATTAGCCAAATCTACTTCTCTCTCATAACTGTAAAAACTTAACGTTTTGGGGGAGGGAAGGATCTAATCAATGTTTTTTAAAGAACCCCCAATTCTCATTCACATTTTTTCTGTCTGTATTTTTCCTCCCTGACGTTGATCAGAATTTTCTTCTGCTTTGGGAAATAAGCAGACCTTAAGAGTTTATACTACAGGTTGTGAGCATCAACTGTTGCCCATAGTGAATGTAACCAGGTCACAAAACTTAGTCCCTAAGCAACCACCAGTTTCCAGTCCTAAAATTAATTCACCTTTATTCAACATAGCAAGGTCCAAAATACAGACACCTGATGATGGGGACAATACTGCTTGTGTTAGAAAAATAGCAGCTATTGGCTAGAGTGGGAGGGGGGCTGGGAGTTTAGGCATCTGGCTCTGGAATGAAAGTGGGGGCTGATGGGTTAGAGCAGGGATGGGGACTGGAAGTGTGCATCTTTGCACTATCCCCTCCTACACCAGAGAGACATCAAAGTCCCATGCTTTTTAATACTGGCTCCATGGGGGGGCATCCCCAGGGGCGAGAGAGCTGCTGGGAGGAGTGGGTAAGTGACTGCATGGGGAATTTGGGGACATACCCACACCCAGCCAGTGACACTCAATATTCCCCTGCTGGGGGAGGGGTGGAGGGCAGGTGTTAGCACAGATCCAAGGAGCAGGTGGGGGTCGCTGAGTCATACGGAAGAGGGGACTGAGCCTCTGTGCGTAGGGATGGAGGCCACCTTGTCCCCTTTCCCTCCCCACAGCTGAACCTTTTCCACCCCCCATTCCTTCCCTCTCTGCCTCCCCAAACTATCACCACCTGTCTCCCCTGCCTTCCTTCTCTGCCTCACCCTCACCCTGTCTGTCCTCCCCATACCCATCTCTGCCTCCCTCGCCTGCCTCCACACCTTCTCCCCCTGTCCACCACACACCACTCTTCCCTGCCTCCTCACGTTCCCCCACCCCGCCTGTCTCCCCGGGTCATCCCTCCCTCAGCCTTCCTCCTGTCCCCGCCCCCTACGACGTTCACAGAACGTTCCACGATGCCCCAGGGCAGGAAAGGCAGAGGCTGGGCCATACCATTCCTACCAAGTGTGTGTCGGGGGGGGAGCGGGGAGAATGCCTTAAAGACCCTCCCAGTAGCTCAAGGTTTAAGGGCCACACCCCGCCCTCAGTGAGTGGGAAGCCCCCCTCCCCACAATAGGCCATCCATACAGACAAACACACACAAACACTTGGGGTGCTCCTCCTCCCACTCGTTTTGTACAATGGTTCCTTCCAATGGCAAGGGGAAGAAAGGGCTGACGGGCCCTACCATTCTGGACACAGGTAAGGGGGGTGTTCCTGAAAAAAAGTTGAAATGCTTTAGGAAAGGAGGGGAGTGTCCAGCCCCATCTTTAATGGGATACAGCCAGGCAACAAGCCCACCCACTCAAAAATATGCAACTCCCCCACCATGAAGACACAACGGACTAGTCCAGGATGAACCAAGGCTGGACAGAGGGAGAGTTAAAGTTTATCCTTAGCCACGCCTCTCTGAAGAAACTAAAATAGCCCCAGGAAAAGGCTCGCGCTGAATTGTTTAACCCTTTCTGCCCTGCCCCAGCAGTCCCTGCAACCTGCTGCAGCCAGGTTCCCAGTGCCCAGACAGACCCCCCCACATAACCCTCAAACCCCTCCCATCCCATTCAAAATTCAGACCGTGCTCTGCCTCAGCCCCACAGTCCACCCTTCTACAGACCAAGATTCATTTCAGAACCCACCCTCGATGATTTTTCCATCATATGGGAGGGGAGCGAACCTCTCCCTTCTTTGCCTCCATTCCCCCTCCCCCTGATGCTGCTGCCCCCTTCAGGC